GAGAATAATTTTTTTAGTGGATTTAACAGGTCAGGTGGATTTTTTTTTGACGGAATAATAAAAAAAAATCTTATCAAATTAAAGGTTTAGAGTGCAAAAAATTATTTAAAGACCAAAAAAGTACATGTTATCAAAAGGTTAAAATTTTAATTTGGTCCTGAACTGTTATATGATTTCTCGATTTGGTCTTTATTGTTTATCAATTTATCTCAAATTAGTCCTTCCGTAAAAAAAAACTGACGTATTTAGTATTTAATGATAAAAAATAATAACTTAACAGTAGACAACAATAACTTAACGGTAGAAAACAATAACTTAACGGTCACGTGTCAAGTTAATAACGAGACATGTCAACTGTTTTTGTATAGAAAGACCAACTTGGGGTAAATCGATAAACAGTAAGAACCAAATTGAAAATCCGTACAATAGTTCAGGAATCAAATTAAGGATTTTTTTAGTTCAAGAACTAAATTAGGGAGGATACAATAGTTTAGGGACCAAATTGAAGATTTAACCTTATCAAAATAAGAGATACCTATACAAAAGAGGAAAAAAAAATTAAGAACGAAAAAAGTGCATCAAGGCAAAGTTAAGAACCAAAATTAAACGAGACACCCTAAGAGTTGGGGGCGCTATGCACAAAAAGAGACAAAATATAAAACACACACATAACAAAAAAAATTATACTATATTCTCTGTGTCTCAAAAACAAAGAGGAAAAAAAAAAATAGACAAAAAAAAAAAAAAAACTATACTATAATAAAAAAAAAAAAAAAAAAGAAAAAGGTTTTTTTTGCACAGCAAATAGAGTTTATTAGATAGAGTACAAGAAGTACTCCTGCCCATAATACAAAAACAGGTAGTTATTGAGCAACTACTGACTCTGCCTTAACTCCAAGTAAAGTCAATTAGTTGCTCAATGCAACCTATGAAACTACATTCGAGGGGTTCCATCAATACCCTCTTAATATTAAGGCTAATCCATCCAACTAATGGCAAGACTCTATTTCCTACCACAGTTAACTTTAAAACATGTCATAGGATTGATTAACCAATCAGAAAGATTAAACAAGCATCTAGATTTCCTTGCTTTAATCCACAAAAAAGATTTCAGCTGGATGTGTTCGAGTAACTTACTTTTGTTGACGTCGGAATCTCAGAATATCGTCTGGTTTCTTGCAAGCCATATGGACCACACCACAATGTTCCAGATACAATCCCAGCCTCCCTTTACACGTGATTCCTTAGCCCATTCTCCAAACTGCTCAAAGGATTTCCAGCAATCATTTTCTAAAGTAACTGCAATCCCCCACCATTTCCTGCAAGCTTTCCATAGCCACTTAGTTAACTTGCACTTCAAAAAAAGGTGATTAGAGTCCTCGACCTCCCCTTCACATAGAACACAATTACCGTAACCCAAATCATTAATAATCCCTCTTCTTTGCAAGTTGCTCTTTGTTGGTATTCTATCCTATAGTAGTTGCCAATTAAAAGCAAAAATTTTGCTCGGAATGATAGGGTTCCAAACTCTCTTGTATATTGAAGTTGTGTCCCATCCATCTTGCTCATTTGTTAGTAATCTGTAAGCTGTTTTAGTTGAGTAGCTGCCTTCCTTGCTATGCTCCCACTTCCATGTGTTGGGACTGTCCAGATATATCCGCACGCCATCAATCTTTCTTTGTAATTCTGTAGCTTCCTCTCTTTCCCAGTCGAATAAGGCTCTTCTCCATCCAAGGTTCCACTTGCATGTTCCATTTTCCTCATTGCGCATTTGGTAGCATTCTTTCTTCTTTCCTGTTGATAAAGTATACAATCTTGGAAAAAGATTAGCAAAGTAACGCTCCCCACCCCAATTGTCCCACCAAAAACTCACTCCCTTTCCTTCTCCTAATTTTAACTTGAACCTTTCTGTTAACCACCCTTCATTCTCCTCATCCACATTATTAATACAACACACATCCCTCCACCACAGTGATCCTATTCCCCTTCCCTCCCTTACCCAGTCAAGCCAATGGCCTCCTCTCCCACCATACTTATTAGCAATGACCTTATCCCACAAGCCCTGTTCTTTACTTGCTAGCCGTCCCCACCATTTCCCCATTAAAGCCAAGTTGAACTTCCTCATCTCTCTCACTCCTAATCCCTCATATTGTTTATTTTTACAAACTGTTTCCCATTTAACCCAATTAATTTTTTTACCCTCTCCTTCCCCACCCCACAAAAAGCTTTTGCGAATTTTATCAATAAAATGAAGAATACCTTTAGGAAGTAGGTAGACTGACATCAGAAACACGAGCAAGCTAGACAACACGGAATTAATGAGCGTGATGCGTCCCCCAAAGGAGAGATGCCGACCTTTCCATAGAGCTAATTTCCTTTTCACAGATTCCACCAATGGTCGCCACATTGCTATTCTTCTATGACTTCCCCCAATGGGGATCCCAAGATATTTAAAAGGAAGATCCTCACCTTTACAGTATAGTCTGGATGCCATTTTTTCTTTCCATCCTTCCTTCACATTAACACCCATAAGCTGACTCTTAGCATAATTGATTTTTAGTCCTTAAACCATCTCAAAGGACCTCACTATACATTTGATAGCCCAAATGTTTTGTTCAGTTGCCTTCCCAAAAAAAGAAAAGTAGCAAGGTAACAATAATTTTTTTTTCTTATTTCATCGTATATTTTTTTATATATAAATCATACAAATTTGTAAGTCTATATATAGGTTAACGGACATATGAAGGTCACATTAGTCATTGAATGTGACTAAATGAGAGAATGAATGGCACCTTAATGGACTCTTGAATAGCCTTTAGTGAGATCATGAATGGCTCCTTAACGGTAAGGAGTTACAACATAGAAGAAGGTGAATGTGAAGGTGAAGGTGAAAGGTGAAGCATCTAGCAATGGGAAAATTCACAATACTCCCCCTTGAATGCTCACCTCTTTGTGTTATACGCTTTTAAATTGTTTCATTAAAAGCTTTGTTAGGAAAAATCCAGTGGGATAAAAATATAGTGAAGGGAAAAAGAGTACAGTATGTATAATACTCGTCCTTCAACGAAGCTCTCTAAGGGGTCGCATGCCTATCTTGTGTAGAAGTTGTTCAAAAACTTTGGTAGACAGTGACATTGTGAAAAGATCTGCTAGATTCTCATTTGAATTGATTTATTGAACATCTATTTCACCAACATTTTCAAGTTCATGTGTAGAAAAAAACTTTGGAGAAATATTTTTGGTTCTATCTCATTTGATGAATCCTTCCTTTATTTTTGCAATGCATGTAGTATTGTCCTCGTATGATAAGGTTGGATTCCCTATAATTGTTTTAAGACTACATGTTTCTTGAACATGCTAGATCAAAAATCTTAATCATACATATTCTTGACTTGCCTCATATAGGGCAATCAATTCTGAATGATTTGAGGATGTGGCTACAACAATCTGTTTGGTTGAACGCCAAGAAATTGTAATACCACCATATGTGAATAAAGACCCAATTTGTGATCTCCCTTTATGTGAATATGACAAATAACTAGCATTTGCATGTCCAATGAACTCTGGTTTTGAGTGTTTTGAGTAAAACAATCCCATGTCTTTTGTTCCTTACAAATAATGAAATAAATGTTTAATGTCGTTCCAATGCCTTCGTGTTGGTGCAGAATTATATCTTACTAACAAATTCACAGAAAACACAATATTAGGTTGCGTATTGTTAGCTAAATACATTACTACACATATGGAACTTAAATATAATACTTTAGGACCAAGGATTTCTTTGTTATCTTCACAAGGTTGAAAAGGATCTTTCTTTATATCAAGGGATCAAACAGCCATTAGAGAGCTTAAAGGATGAAATATATCCATATCAAATCTCTTCAATAGCTTTTTAACATAGTCTAGTTGATGGACAAGAATTCCATTTGATAAGTACTTGATTTATAGATCGAGACAGAATTTTGTTATTTTGAGATCTTTCATCTTGAATTCTTTCTTTAAACATTCAACTGCTTCTTCAAGCTCTTCAGGTGTCTCAATGATATTTATATCATCAACATATACAGTAATAATAGCAAAACTAAATTTTGACCTCTTGGTAAAGACACATGGGCTAATAGGACTATTTTCATATCCTTCTGTTAGGAGATATTCATTTAAGCAATTGTATCACATTTGCCTTGTTTGTTTCAACCCACACAAGAATTGCCTTAATTTTATTGAAAATATCTCCCTTGGCATTGAGTTGTATGTTTCAGGCATTTTAAGTCCAACTAGCACTTTCATATAAATGTCATTATCAAGTGATTCGAACAAGTAAGCAATTACAACATCCATGAGGTGCATTTGAAGGCCTTTAGATGCTGCTAAACTTATTATAAACTTAAATATAATTGCATCAACCATAGGAGAATATGTTTCCTCACCATCAATGCTAGGTATTTATGTAAAGCCTTGAGCTACAAGTCTAGCTTTGTATCTCATAACCTCATTTTTCTCATTTCATTTTCTCACAAACACCCATTTAAAATTGATAGGCTTTACATTATTGGCTGTTTGGACAATTGGTCCAAAAACTTGGCGTTTTTCTAATGATTTCAATTATGTCTGAATTGCAGCTTTCTATTTTGACCAATCACTTTTTTGTTGGTATTCTTCAATGGATTTTGATTTAAGATCCCCATTTTCATTGATTATATCATTTGCTATCGCAAATGCAAAGGCAAAAACATTGTCAATGACAACATCACTTTGATTCCACTTTATCCTAGTGGAAATATAATTTATTGAGATCTGATCATTATCTACAATTTTTGCATCTTAATTGTTTTCAAGTACTTGAACCTTTTATGAGATTATTTCTTTAGATGCTTTTTTGGGTTGTTGTTTAGAGAACTCTTGAGTTTCTACAATATCAATGAAGCCAGTGTTTTGCTTTTGCTTTCTTTTCATTCTTGGATTTTTATCTTTAGAACCAACAAGTCTACCACACTTTTAGTAAATAGTAGATTCATTTGCTACTACCTTCGCATCTTTCAACAAGAATATTAATTCGAGCAGGAGCATTCAAAGTTGAGATGTGTGAAATAGCTACTTTCTTTGCATCTGTGAATGCATTAGGCAATTGAATTGCAGTCTTTTTGCAAATATATAATTTTCTAAACTTCTAGTTCATTTTGACTTGTTTGAGGGTCTAAATAAGATATAGATAATACATCCCAAGTTAATTCCTAACTTTTTAACTTTTGTTCATCTTCCCCTAATGTTGGGAACAAATTTTCATCAAAATAACAATCAGAAAATCTTGCTACGAAAAAATCACCAGTCATTGGTTTAAAAGATTTAATTATAGATGGTGATTCAAAACCAACATAAATTCCTAGTCTTCTTTGGGTACCCACTTTAGTGCATTGTGTAGGAGCAATAGGAAAATATACAACACAACAAAAAATCATTAAATTACATATATTTGGTTCAATCCCAAAAATAAACTGTAATGATAAATGGTTATGTTAAGCAATTGGCCTTAATTGAATGAATGCTGCAACATGCAATATAACATGACCCCAAGCAGAAGAGAGTAACTTTGATCTCATAAGCAGTGGTCTTGTAATCAATTATAGACACTTAATTAGAGATTCAGCTATACCATTTTGTGTATGTATATGAGGAACTAGACGCTCAAAAGCAATCACAATTGGCATACAATAATCATTAAATAATTAGGATGTAAATTCTCCTACGTTATTAAGTCGAATCCTTTTTATTGTATAATCAGAAAATTGTGCCTTCAATTTTATTATTCGTACAAGAAGCATTGCACAAACGCAATATTACGTGTAGATAGTAAGCAAATATGCGACCACCTTGTGGACATATCTATCAACACCATAAAATATTGAAATGGTCCGAATGGTAGATTTATAGGCCTACAAATATCTCCTTAAATCCATTCCAAAAATGAAGTAGATTCATTTTCTATTTTTACTACAAAAGGCCTAATAATTAATTTACCAAGGGAGCAAGCAACCTATAAAAATTCACTTAATAATAGAACTTTCAAGTTCTTTAGTGGGTGTCCACATGAACTTTTTATAATTCTCCATATCATTTTACCAATTGGATGACCAAATCAATTATGCCAAAGGATAAGGACAGTTGAATTGACTAATTTCTGATTAGTCACAGTATTAGATTCTATTGGATATATATGTATATATGTATAATAAAATCTAGAAGATAATGTTAACATTTTCTCTAATATTTTCTTTTTTCCAAATTCAAAAGTTGTGACATATGGAGGAATTCTATTTCATTTTCATTAATGGTTTCAATATGAAAACCATTAATGTCAAAAATGAGACATTTTATGTTGAAATTGAAAATTTTACGAAAAATTACCTTTCTATTAGTCTCTATAAAATATTAAATCTTACTCACCGTCGCTGCTAGGGTTCTCCTTCTTCGACATGCGCCTCTCACTTCGGTGCCCCTCCTTGCTTTTGCAGGGCCTCCCCCCTCTTTCTTTTTCCTGGTTTGCTTTCTGCCTCTCCATTCCATGGATTAGACTCGTATTTTGGCATGGAACTGTAGAGGTCTTGGAGATACTTTTGCGATTTCAAAGTTGAAAAAACTCTATTTCCAACATAAGCCTAGCATCATCTTCCTCTCTGAAACAAAGTGCACAGCGGTGGAGATGACTTCGATCCGCCCAGATCTAGGTTTTGACTAGTGTTTTGCTGTTGATTGTGTAGGAAGTGGGGGCGGCCTCGCTATGCTTTGGCGTGACGACTTTAATATAACTATTTCCACTTTCTCCCAATCTCACATAGATGTGGAAATTGTTGATCCGGGTGGGGGTGAATGGAGACTCACAGGGTTCTATGATTGTCCGGAGGCTGCTCGAAGAGAGAAATTATGGACCTTGTTAAAATCACTCAAGGCTGCCTCTTTTCAACCGTGGCTGTGTTTAGGTGATTTCAATGAAATTCTGTAGCAATCGAAAAAGGCAGAAGGGAACCATCGACCATATAAACAAATGGAACTCTTTGCAGAGGCTTTAAACTTCTACGACTTTAAAGAAATGGGTTTCAAGGGTCCTCAATTTACTTTTATAAGGAAGTTGCATGACATATCATCAAGGAAAGACTAGACAGAGTTTTGATGAATCCGGGATGGTCGGGGATGTTTTCGGGAGCTTTCTCCCATCATTTGTTGGCATTGAAATCGGATCACGCTCCAATTCTGGTGATAGCAACAAAAACGATGAATGGTTATCGACATAAAAGAACTAAGCTGTTTCGATTTGAGAACTATTGGACCAAGGATCCCGACTGTGAAGGAAAAATTAAGGATGGTTGGAAGACTAGAGAAGGAGACACAAACATGTCTTGAGTGATGTCTAAAATTGCATCATGTGGTTCTCTCCTTATGGACTGGAGCCAACACAAATTTGTCAATATACCTTAAAGAATTAAATTGTTGCAATATGAAATCTTGAGTGTTCGAAATGGTATAGCACAAGACAACAGCTTAGGAAGGATGGAAGCACTAGAACAGGAACTTAATGATTGGCAGCGACGGGAAGAGGTCTTATGGAAGCAGCGCCAAGGGTTCAATGGTTAAAAGAAGGGGACAAAAACATTGCTTTTTTCCATAATAGAGCCTCGGCCAAGCACAAAAAGAATCGCATTGCTGGACTTCTGGATGAAAGGGGCTCTCTTGTAACAGATAAAACAGGGGTGGAAGGACTCTGCATTAAGTATTTCAGAGATTTATTTACTTCCAAATACACTGGTCCAAATTGCAGCATCCTGAGCGCATTACAAGGGAGAGTATCGCCTTTGATGGCAAATAACCTGGATAGAGACTTTACTAGTTCTTAAGTTCTTGTTGCCTTGAAACAAATCCATTCTTCAAAGGCCCAAGGACCTGATGGGATGAATGCCAGTTTTTATAAAAATTACTAGCATATTATAAGAGGGGATATCATATCAGCTATGTTGGACTTCCTTAATAATGGGATTATGGTGAGAGAAGTGAACCTTACTCATATTGTTTTGATCCCGAAAGTTAAAAATCCCTCTTCTATGAAGGATTTTCGGCCCATAAGTCTTTGCAATGTGCTGTACAAAATTATCTCAAAAGTCTTAACCAATAGGCTTAAATTGATCCTACCACATATTATATCAAATAATCAGAGTGCTTTTGTTCTTGGGAGATTAATCTATGACAACATTATGGTAGCCTTTGAAGCTATCCATCATCTGAAAAATAAAGAGGTTGGCTGGCGAGGGCATATGGCTATCAAACTTGATCTTAGCAAGGCTTTCGATAGAGTAGAATGGAATTTCTTAGAGGACACTATGCGAGCAATGGGTTTTCCTGAGTGGTGGATTAACCGTGTCATGACGTGTGTTCGCACGGTGGAATACTCCGTCTTGATCAATGGGTATCCAACAAAGAAATTCACTCCAAGTAGGGGTATAAGGCAAGGAGATCCCCTCTCCTCATTCCTTTTTCTCTTATGTGCTGAAGGATTATCAGCTCTATTATCAAGGGCTATTAGTAGAGGGGATTTAAAGGGATTGACTTTGTGCCGAGGATGCCGTTGTCTATTGCATTTGTTTTTTGTTGATGACAGCTTGTTGTTTGGAGAAGTGTCTGTCCAAGAAGCTGCAAAGCTGTTGGAAATCTTGAAGGAATATGAGGGGGTTTCCAGGCAGCAAATTAATCTTGACAAGTCATCTATTTTTTTCAGCAGTAATACTTCCAATGCTGTGCAACAGGGGGTGATGCAAACTTTGAATATATCCAAAGTCATTGCAGATGATAAGTATCTTGGACTCCCCTTAATTATAGGGCAAAAGAAAACTATCTGTTTCGATTCTATCCGAGAGCGAGTTTGGTCAAAAATCAAAGGATGGAAAAGAAAATTGCTATCTCGTGCTGGACGATAAATTCTGATCAAAGTAGTTGTGCAAGCTATTCCTACATACTGCATGGGTTGTTTTAAGCTTCCTCAAAATTTTCTTCAATCTTTAAATAGCATCATTAGCAACTTTTGGTGGGGTGATAACACTGATAGAAGACGAATCCATTGGTTACGGTGGGATCTCGTGTGTAAACCTAAGCGCTTTGGAGGACTAGGCTTCAGGGATTTTAGAGCTTTCAATTTAGCTATGTTGGCAAAGCAGAGCTGGCGTTTGATGCAAGATAGGACCACCTTATGCTATCAAATTCTCAGAGCTAAATACTTTCCAAATGGGGATTTACTGGGAGCTTCTGTAGGCGCTAACGTTTCTATGGTTTGGCGAGGGGTTGTTGATGGCCTTGGTATTCTTAAATTGGGCTCAACTTGGCGAATAGGCACTGGACAGGATGTCAGACTCTGTAGAGACAACTGGTTGCCTTCTGGAGCCATCCTTCGGCCACGGTCCGCTCTTATCCAACAGGACATGGATGATAGGGTCAGCACTTTCATAGATGTCAATACCGGCTGCTAGAAGGAAGGAGATGTTCATCAACAATTCTATGCAGAAGATGCAGAGAGCATTCTACACATCCCTTTTAGCAATAGATGCTTCGTTGATAGATTAATATGGCTTGGGACGAACAATGGAAAATTTTCAGTTAAATCTGCTTACAAATATGCTTGGGAGTTGATCTTTGGCACTCAACACCACGCTCATGATCAAATACTGAAACCAGTTTGGAGATCAATCTGGTCATTGAATGTCCCCTCTAAACTGAAGCATGTTTTGTGGAGGATCATATGGGAGATACTGCCCTCTCGCAATATATTGCAATCGCGTGGTCTTAAGATTGAGCACGAATGTGGTATTTGTGGTGAAGCAGAAGAATCTTATTTTCATCTGTTTTTTGAATGTGCCTGGAGTAAAGCTGTGTGGAGAGAAATCCTTCCAACAACTGCCTCGCATTCTATACAATAGAGTACATTTCTCGATGGCTTTCTTGATTTCTTCCTGGCATTGAGTTCAGATGATAAGGAATTAGTTGCTGTAACTTTGTAGTATATCTGGACTAATAGGAATCACTGTATCTATAAGCATTCTTGTTATTCACCTGCATGAAGCATTCGGGCCATTAAATGCTATATTGCTGAGTATCGGGCAGCAACAATATAGGTTGAAGATAATCTACAGGAAATTTTACCTCAACCAGGTCCTGCCGAAGATGTTTGGACTCCGCCTCCCTCAGGGGTCATTAAAATAAATGTGGACGCAAGCATCGCACCTTAGTTTGGTACAGCAAGCCTCGGGGTAGTACTTAGAGACAGCAACGGTGGTGTGCTCGGTGCTGGTAAAAAGACCATCAGCTTCCAAGGCACTGTCAATCACGCAGAAGTCTTAGCAATCAATTTTGGGATAAGCATCCCACCTCAGTCTGGTACAGCAAGCCTCGGGGTAGTACTTAGAGACAGCAACGGTGGTGTGCTCGGTGCTGGTAAAAAGACCATCAGCT